CAAACTCCCCATTTTCTCTTTTCTCCTGCCCAATGGTTGTGCTTCAGCACATGTTTAGGTCACGTGCAGAGCATATTGTGCCCCCAGTGGGAGGGAACTATAGAGGAGAGCCATGTGGAGTGTGAGAAACTCCAGGCGTGCTAACCCCACACTCTCCTCTCCACACAGCCTCTCACTCCAATTATTCTCTTTTTGGGTTTTTTTTTTAAGACAGTGTCTCACTGTCACCCAGGCTGGAGTGCAATGGTGCAATCTCAGCTCACTGCAACCTCCACCTCTCGGGTTCAAGCAATTCTACTGCCTTAGCCTCCTGGGTAACTGGGATTACAGGTGCCCACCACCACGCCCAGCTCATGTTTGTATTTTTAGTAGAGACGGGTTTCACCATATAGGCCGGGCTGTTCTCGAACTCCTGACCTCCAGTGATCCACCTGCCTCAGCCTCCAAAAGTGCTGGGATTACAGATGTGAGCACTGTGCCCGGCCTCATTTTGCTTTCTAATTCAATGACACCCCCTGAAACCTGGACTTGGGGCCCCTCTCCCTTGTGCTGCCCCTGGGCCTCCCAGCCCAGCCCGTGTAGACCTTGCCTCTTTCTTATCCCTGGATAAACAGACTTTCTCCACCAGAGCTGATCAGCTCCCAGACTCCCTTGGCTTCCAGCGACAATGGCCGCTTGGTGGCCTTCACTCGGGGCCACGAGTTCAAACAACTTCCCTTTTGGCAGAGAAATCCATCTCCAGCAAAAGAGTGGGTCTGTAGCCCAAGCCCTGACTCAATTTCCCCTCTATGTCCCTGCGCCCTAAATCTTGAAAACCACTCTTCCTGTCTTCAATCCCACCCTATCTCCCAAGGATCCTCTTCCAAGAGTTGATTCTGTTCCAGACTGCTTACTCCAGCTCTCATGTCTTTCTTCACCAGCTTCTGGAAAGACCCTGTGTCTCTAAATCATACTATTGGCATTGTATACACTATCCTGCCCTCCTCCATGGGGCCTTGGCTGTGCTTAGAGACACCCACTCCCATCTTCCTGCCATCTCTGGTCACTCAGGCGTCCCTTCCAGGGAGCTGTGAACCCTGAACAAGGCCTTTGCTTTGGGTTGGGCAGGCAACATCCCCACCTAGGGGCAGTCCTGATCTAGAATCCTTTCTGGGCAAGGCAGCATGGCTCCGGGAAGAGAGGAGGGGGCTTACAATCAGAGTCAGGACACGAATCCTAATTCTACAACCCACTGGTTGGGACTTGCCCTCCTCTTTCTCCATCTCCAGACTGTAAAGAGCGGAAAGAATATCTGTGTCATGAGCTCGTTGCCAGGATTAAGTGAGTTATCCCATGTGAAAGTGTCTGCAAATTGTGAGCTGCTGTGCTGATTTTTTTCTGTGAAAGGCAAACAGCAACATAGCCTAGCATCATGCGCCTTCTACTTACATCCCATTTGCAACCTGACCCTCATTCCCTTCTTTCCGGCTTCCTTTGAAGAACGGGATGTTACAAGTTGTTGTGTAAACACACACACACACACACACACACACACACACACACACACACACACAGAGGGCTGTCTCCTTGGAAACACGTGCTGAGGCTCCTAGAGGCATGGTGCCATCTGCCCTGCACAGCCCAGTTTCCTGATAATAGGCAGGATCTCGGTAGGACTTGCTGGGGCAGGAGGAGGGGCCTTGGTGTCATCCTCTTGGCGGATTTAGGGAAATGAGCCAAGAGGGTGGACACGGTGCAGCCTGGGCTCTCCTGAGCTTGGCTTGAGTGAGGGCCATGTTTACCTCCATGCACAGCCTGGGAACCAGAGCAAAACTGAGAAATTGAGGAGTTTGCTTTCAGGGAAGAGGACAGGGGAAAGGGCCTTCTATGTGCTGGACATGCTAGCTCATTTAATCCTCACTACCTCCTTTTGTTTATTTTTTTGAGACGGAGTCTTACTCTGTCACCCAAGCTGGAATACAGTGGCACCATGTTGGCTCACTGAAACCTTGTTTCCTGGGTTGAAGCAATTCTTTTGCCTCAGCCTCTTGGGTAGCTGGGATTACAGGTACCCACCACCACGCCCAGCTAATTTTTGTATTTTTTAGTAGAGATGGGTTTCACCATGTTGGCCAGGCTGGTCTTGAACTCCTGATGTCAGGTGATTCGCCCACCTCAGCCTCCCAAAGTGCTGGGATTACAGTTGTAAGCCCCCATGCCCAACTCCTCACCACCTCCTTCTAAATGGTACATTCCTCCTGTCCTTCTGGTGAGAAAATGAACTCAGAGACACTGGCTACCCTCAGGGCCAGTACATGGGCCAGCCTCTCTTTTCTTCCTTCCTACCCTAGCAGCCCAGAGCCTTCTTCTCTACCTGCTCCCCCCCCACCGACCCCTTCAGAGAAATGTGAGAAATTCTTTCTCACCAAGTGCCAGGCGTTGACGGCAGTGTTGAGGAGTGCCCCTTCCAGGTGGCTAGGCTGCTCCAGGATGCACTCTTGACTCAACAGCCACCTTCTCCTGAGCGTGTGCCAGGACTATGTTGCATGCTCCTATGTCACTATCTATGCAATGGCTCTGCAAGGGAGATATGATTATCCAGGCACTCTGTGAGTGAGGACACTGATGCTCAGAGAGGGAAGGCCATACAGTTGTTGAAGTATGCAAACCCAGTTCCTCCTGACACCAGGCTCGTGGCTACCCATAGGGCTGCCTGGGCTCTGAAACTCTCAGGCAGTAGCTCTTGGTCACCCAGACATTCATCATGTGCTTCCGGAGTATTTGCTATGCTTGGGGAGCCCTGGGTGAAGGAAACCGACACTATTCCTATCCATGGTGTTTGCATTCCAGTGGGGAGAGACAATCAGCTGTGTGTAGGGGGGCCAGGGTCGGAGGGGTCAGGATCAGCCTCTCCCAGGGAGAGGCATTTGAACTGAGGCCTGGAGGTCTGGAGGGTGAGGAAAAGTCAGCTATCCAAGGAACTTTCAGGCTATGGGGACAGCACCTGCAAAGGCCCTTCCTGGGGCAGAAAAGACAAAATGGGTCTGAGGAATAAGAGGCCACTGTGGCTGCAGAAGGCAAGCAAGGGGGAGAGGAGTCAGAGGTGAGGCTGGAGAGACCCGAGGGCGAGCGCCTGCAGAGCCTTGATGGTTATGAAGAAGAGTGACGCTGTCATCTCCCTGTCTGTAAGGACCCCCCCCACACCCACTATTCTTGAGGAAGTGGCCGGTAGGGAGAAATGAGATATCCCCAGAACAACCCAAGCAGGAATTACAGCAGAGTTAACTTGAACCAAGCACATGGTATAAGCCAGGTGGTATTCTGGCACTGTGCCAGAATGGATTCCTTCACTTTGGACACTCAGGCATAGAGAGGGTTAATCATTTGCTCAAGCTTGCAAGAAATATAGTTAACCCTTAAATACCATGGGGATTAGGGATGCTGCCCCCATGCAGTA